TGTTCGCGAACTCAGATGGGTTCGTTCGTTACGAAGAGTGTGATCGACGTGTGCGCGTCGCCGCCGGAGAAACGTTTTTCCCCATCGTAGGGTACGGCGACGTGACGTAGCCCTTAGCTTGCGCGACGGTACAACCGACCTGTTGTTGAAACGGGTTGCACACGTCCCCCGACTAGACTACAACCTAGTATCTCTCACTTCCCTCTTCGACGACGGGTTCGAAACCAAAACCCTCAACAAACACGAGTTGGAGTTGGAGAGAGGGGGGGGGGAGGTGGTGTACTTCCCCCGATGCGGTAACCTGTACGTCCAAAACGGTTTCCGCACACACACCGAACATGCCTGTGCCGCAATTGCTCCTGGCAACGCGAAAGCGCCCAGCACCCCCGTTGACATCAACGATTTCCACTGCCCGCACGGCCACTCCCACGAGGTGCTGCTGAGACCACGGCGAAGCAGCAGAGGGNTGTACGTCCAAAACGGTTTCCGCACACACACCGAACATGCCTATGCCGCAATTGCTCCTGGCAACGCAAAAGCGTTNCGACTAGACTACAACCTAGTATCTCTCACTTCCCTCTTCGACGACGGTTTCGAAGCCAAAACCCTCCACAAACACGAGTTGGAGTTGGAGAGAGGGGGGGGGGGGGGGGGGTACTTCCCCCGATGCGGTAACCTGTACGTCCAAAACGGTTTCCGCACACACACCGAACATGCCTGTGCCGCAATTGCTCCTGGCAACGCGAAAGCGCCCAGCACCCCCGTTGACATCAACGATTTCCACTGCGCGCACGGCCACTCCCACGAGGTGCTGCTGAGGACCACGGCGAAGCAGCAAGGGACGACGCTGGTGGGCGAGCTCCGGGAGTGCCTGGGGTGCTCGACGGCGAAGGGGCTTTCCAAGCCCATCCCCAACAAGACGTCGACCCGAGCAGATAAGAAACTGCAGCGAGTTTTCGTGGATCTGAGTGGAAAAGCTAGGGGGCAGAGCTTGGGGGAGAAGTGATACACTCTCATTGTCAAGGATGATCACACAAGGTGGAACCGTGTCTATTACCTGAAGCACAAATCAGACGCCGCTGAGGCATTCGAGAGGTACCTTGCAGAAAACCGGGCAGACGGTGCCCCGTCCGATGTCATGGTCGTGAGATCCGACAATGGAGGAGAGCTTTTTTAGGGAAGAGTTCGGCAAGGTGTGCCGGAAGTACTGCATAAAACAGGAGTTCACCCCCGTACACAGCCCAGAATACAACCGTGTAGCTGAGAGAGCACTGGGTCTGATCAAGGATGCAGCATAAGTCGCCCGTGTCCAAGCGCCAATTCTCTACCCCGGAGCTCCGAACTACCCATCCCTTTGGGCCGAGGCCATAGCTTGGGCATGCAACGCCCTGAACTGCACCTCCACCACATCCAACCCAGAGAAAAAATCGTCGTACGAAATGTGACGCGGGCACCCCCCCCCCGCCGAGGGCGACGTACCCGTTCCTCAAACCTGCCGTATACAAGGTCAACCGCACACACAAGTCCGAGCCGAAAGCCCAAAGTGTTTTTACCTCGGCCCGGGAATCAACACCAACCGTGAGATTGCGTGCGTATCTTAACGAAAAACGCCAAGCGATCACAACTCGCAACTTCACCTGGCAATCCGTACCCGGCGTCCCCGGCGCCCTGCCCCAGTCGCTGCCTCCCATCGCCGAGGAGGAAGAGGAATTTACGACTGAGGAGGACGAGCTTGAGGAGGGCACGTCGAGCCAACGTGGAGGGAGGGCGGAGGGAGAACCTGTGGATGGAGGACCAGATTTCAACCTTGGCACAACGGCAGCCCCGGGGCCCGCGGGGCCACCCGCGCGCGTAGCGCCGGCGGCGCCGCCGGCCGTGCCCCAGGAGTCGGGCGCCGGCGACGCTGGCGATGGCGCCCCCTCGAGCAGGGAGGGCGCGAGCGTCGCCCCATCTACCACGTCGACCGGCACGGCCGATGTGGACGGCCGCGAGGACGACCGCTGCAGCAGCGGTAGCGACGGCAGCGGCGGCGACAGCAGCAGCAGCGGTAGCGGCGGCAGCGGCAGCGACAGCAGCAGCGGCGGCAGCAGCGGCAACGACGGCGGCAGCGACGGNGAGCGTCGCCCCATCTACCACGTCGACCGGCACGGCCGATGTGGACGGCCGCGAGGACGACCGCTGCAGCAGCGGTAGCGACGGCAGCGGCGGCGACAGCAGCAGCAGCGGTAGCGGCGGCAGCGGCAGCGACAGCAGCAGCGGCGGCAGCAGCGGCAACGACGGCGGCAGCGACGGCAGCAGTGGCAGCGACAGCGAGACGGATCTCCCGGCGCTCCGTGGGCCAGAAGCCCGGCGACTCGCCCGCTTCGACAAGCCGGCAGAACTCACCTGCCGCCGCACTAGGGAGAACCCTCGCCGAAACCCGAAGTACGGGTCGCCCCCGTTGCCGACAAGTGCCGAAGCCCTGCTCGCCTCGGTGGTGAGCCTGACGTCAGCAGCACGGAGGAGTTCACCCGCTGGATGCTCTCGGCGGTCCTTCACGTGGCGGAGGAGCAAGAGGCGAGGGTGGTGCGAGAGTTGCTGTCCGAGCGCGCGCAGGAGGCCCAGGCTGCGCGCCAAGAGGCGGAGGATTTCCTGCTGGGTACGGTGGACCTCATGCTCAACTCGCCAGACGCCTTCGAGACGGCTCTGGCGTCCCACGAGCTAAGTGAATCCCCCATAGGCAAGCGTCCGAGTGAAGTAGAACCCCCCCCCCATGACCATAGCCGGCTTTCCAAGTCTGTTTACCGAGAGGGGTGGGAACAGGCCATGAGGGAAGAGTTTGAAGGGCACTTGGGCACGGGGACGTTTTCATTCGTAGACGGTGCGCCAGAGGGGCGCAGGCCTGTGAGCTCAAAGTGGTGTTTTAGTTGGAAGACCAACAAGGAAGGGAAGATAGACACGTTCAAAGCGCGTCTGGTTGCTAGGGGGTTTTCGCAAATCCCGAACGTCGATTATTTCCATTCGTCTTCCCCTTGCCCCTCATCCGCATCCATTAAACTGATGCTTGCGGTAGCAAACGAGAAGGGCATGAGCCTCAATCACTGGGATGTGAAGTAGGTGTATACACACGACACGCTAGACGAGTAGGTTTTTCTGAGGCTCCCCGCTGGCTGCGGGGACAAATTGCATAAAATTGTTAAGGCTGAGCGTGCGATTTACGGTCTGAAGCAGAGCGGTAGGCGGTGGGGGGACCACGCTGCTGATACTCTAGTCGAGAATGGGTTCGAACAGTGCAAGGCGGACCCGTGTGTTTTCCGCAANGCAGTGGGGGTACCACGCTGCTGATACGCTAGTCGAGAACGGGTTCGAGCAATGCAAGGCGGACCCGTGTGTTTTCCGCAAGATGGTAGACGAAGTCGTGGTGATGATTATCATGATCTACGTGGATGACATTTTGGCGGCTGGGTCTGACGAGGATTGCAAGGAGTTGCTTGATTCTATCAACAAGAATTTCCCACCACNAATTGTTAAGGCTGAGCGTGCGATTTACGGTCTGAAGCAGAGCGGTAGGCGGTGGGGGGACCACGCTGCTGATACTCTAGTCGAGAATGGGTTCGAACAGTGCAAGGCGGACCCGTGTGTTTTCCGCAAGATGGTAGACGAAGTCGTGGTGATGATTATCGTGATTTATGTGGATGACATTTTGGTGGCTGGGTCTGACGAGGATCGCGAGGAGTTGCTTGCTTCTCTCAACAAGAAATTCCCCACCAAAAACCTTGGAGAGTGTCAATGGTTTGATGGGTGTGCCATCGAGAGAGATGCAGAGGCTGGGACTCTTAGAATCGCCCAAACCGCGTACATCGACAGCATGGTTCAACGCTTCGATGTGCAGTTGACTTCCCACATCCCCACTACCCCTGGTGCCGATCTAGGGCCGAAGCGAGAGGATGAGGAAGGAGGGGAGTGGCCGGTGAGGGAGGCCATCGGCAGCATGATGTGGGTGTCGACTTTCTCGCGTCCAGACGTCTCGTTCGCCGTGCGTGCGGTAGCGCGCCACGCCCACGCCCCGGCGAAGAGGCACTGGGATGCCATCCAGAAGAACCTCGGCTACTTAAAG